ATATATATATATATATATATACAATAATCCAAAACTGAAAATAAAATCTAGATTATTAGTTAAGCAACACTACAAAATAACTACATAAAAGTAGCCCAACAAAATATCAACACTATCATCATTCAACATGACTTTCACAAGAACATGCAACGGTAAGCTATTACTAAAAAACAATTAACAAGTATAGAAGAATTAACTATCTGTACTACAACTTAAAAAGCTCAACATACACCAACCATGATTCATTTGCAACCCAACTATACAACACAAGTTCCCAACTAACAACATAGTTATACAACCATCAACATGTCATATGAACAACACAACACAATATTCAACTTGAGCAGCACAACAACAACACTACAACTTACCCACATAACAACATAGCATATGCACAACATAAAAATTACATGTGTTGCCATATATTTAATTGAGAGATCTCTTACAACACAATTGAGTAGTTTAAGTGACTTAAACCTACCGATCCAACCAAAATGCTAACTTTTTAAGCTAGTTAGGTTAACAACTAATTTGGATAAAAATCTACAACAAAACATGGTTTCTCGAATTTTGCCACTTAAACTAGGAAAATCTAGTATTTTTGTTAGGGTAGGATAACTTGGGTATGAACATATCACAATCTTAGCATGCATAATTAAGTTTCCTATGAGATTATCCTGTTGACTATCCTCCAAATACTTTGCCCCTTCTAGTACTTAGTTAGGGATTTTGACCTCCAACCTTACACTTCATTCGATTTGGTCACTTTATATACGTATGACTCAACTTGACTTCCATACAAATCAACATTTTGGTCATTTTATAATCAATATAACTCAATCTGACTCATATACTGTGATCACTTATAAATAGTGTAACTCGACCTTACCCCCATACTACATCAACTAAAGTCCTAAATAAAACTTAACAATCCACTTCAAGAGTCAATTTTTTTAGAAGAAATTTCAACAATTGGACTCATAAAGCACCACAACTAAGGATGACAAAATGGGTCATGGGCCACGAGCCAGCTCATTGGGCCGCCAAAAATTGGTAGGTTGGGTTAGACATCATGGCCCACCTAACTTGCCTCTCTTAGCTTGTTAGCTTGTCGGGTCAAATGACAAGTTGGGGCAAGTTGGTCTACCAGCCCGTCTAATTATTATTATTATTATTACTATTATTATTATCTTATTTTTAATATTAAATTTAATTAAGTTACATGATATTTATTTTATTATATGTAATTTGAGATTTTTTGTGTAACAAATTTGTTGAAAGAGTTATTATTATTATTATTATTATTACATATTTATTTTATTATGTAACAAATTTGAGATTTGTTGTGTAGAAAATCAAATTAAATATGTTGTAATTTGAGATTTATTTTATTATTTAGGTACAATAATTTATGTGGTTCTTTTAGATATTAAAAAAAGAAATATGTTTAAAGAGATACACAAAATAAATATATATATATTTTTAAAAAATTTGGTGGGTCAGTAGGCTCATTGGCCTACCAATCCATCCTTAAGCGAGGTGGGCAAAGACGTCCAATTGGGGCCAACTCAATTTGGCCCATTTTTGGCAGGCAGTCAAATTGACTTATTTTGTCATCCCTAACCACAACACAATATCCTCAAAATTGGATATTCAACTTTAAAAACAACTTTTTCTCTAGTTATAAGTTAATCAACACCACTCCACATAATGCCTTAAGTCTTCTCAACACTACAACATACAAATCAACTTACAACTCTCAACAATTCGATCATCAATATACAACATCCTAAATCAATGTATAAAGAATTATCATCATATATCAACATGCAAACATGTGAGAAATTCAACTATCATATACATGTCTAACGCTTAGTCAATAAATCAACATATTTTCATTAAGCAAACTACTCCTGATGCCATTCTCCCCACGTCCCGCGTCATTGAGGCAAAGAGCCTTTAGTTTGCCCATATCAATGCCAAATTATTCGTGCCCTACATGAATGAGGTAAAGAGCTCTTGGGTCAATCATGTATGACATGGCCATACCCACACCTGACCCCATTCATGCAGAAAGTCTCTAACAGATTCATATTCAATGTCACTACACTAGCGTCCAACGTTGTTTAGGCATGAAGCTTTTATCTTGACCATTCCTAATGCCACTCATTAGGGTCAGACATCACCAAGTCAAAGAGCTCTAAGGACATCCATGTCCGATATCATTCAACTCACGTCTAGCGTGACCAAATCAAAGAGTTTTCCTTTAACTCACACTCAAAGCTACCAATCTCACGTTCGACGTCAATGAGGTAGAGAGCTTCTGGCTTGCCTAGCGCCTTAAAGATGCACCTAATATGAATTTTGAACTTAGTAGATTCACAAATTTGATTCATATGTACTTGAAACTCAAGAAATCCAAGCATGCAATGCACCAACTCATATATACACATCATAAGCACCTCAATTTTAGCTAGAGATGCTAGATGCAACCCATAATTGTTTAGAATCATGAATCTCATCTCAATATACCACAAACATAACAAAACCCCCATCCCCAACATTTATATCTTGAAAATATTCAACACAACAACAACACAGATGCATCAATCAACAAAATATTTTAACAAAATTTAACAATCAACAAAGAGTTGGGTTCTAGCTTTCCTTACCTTTAATCACCAAGAAAGAGGAAGAAAGGAGAATAATAAATTACTCTAAGCCAACTCCGCACTAACACTATACCCATTTTGATTCTTAGCTTTGAGGGCTGAATCACAACTCCAACTACACAATCTCACTCTTTAGAGGGCTCAGAAGAGGAGGGAAGAATCTTGACTCCAGAGTTCCTCTCTTTAGCTTCTTTTTTTCTAATTTTCTTAAGAGACTAAACTTATAAAGTCTATTTCTTAAAAAAAATCTTATATATCTTTTCCCAACATATCAAACTTAATGTCTGTTCAGAAAAATCCCTAAATAACTAAAACTCATGAAAATTTCTAAATTTCTAAAATTTCTTAACAATTAAACAATAAATTATTACAACACATAATTTAATAAAAACAATAATTATTAATAAAGCTCATTGTTAAATTACGAACCTAGCATGCTTTCACTATACCAAACATTATGTTACACATTACTTGCTATCATATGTAAAATACTTTTTCACTTATGAAACTTTTCCCATTTAATTGTAAATGTAACCTCCATTCCTATTATTACTTCTATATCATTATATAAAAGAATTTCTTTCTCTTGATCTTCACTTTTATT